GAACCAGGGAATAGATAGAATCTGCCCCCTCAAGATTTTTTCTGATATCGCCACAGAACAGTAGTCGAGCCTTTAGGCGTTTTTGAGTAACTCTTTTGTGGTCGTTTTTTTTACACCAGTTCTGTGAAAATCGTACATACATGGATCTTTTCATTACAACCGCCCCTTTTTTCTTAAAAGAAAAAGCAAAAAAAAAAAAAAAGTCTGGTCTGAGCCAAGTTGGCTCATCAGGCCAGTGTTTGTTGCAGTTTCCTTGGCATGAAACAACTGAGAATATATCTTTTCCCCTGGATGGGATGCCAGTCCATCACAGGTTGCTTCCACGCTACTGCTGGTACCCATTTATACTCCTGAGTGGAGAGGCAAGCCAGGGTGACGCTTGCCAAGGGCCACAACATACTTCCAGCAGCTGGATTCGAACCTTCAACCCTATGATTGGATACCACAGACCCTAACCACTTGACCACATGAAAGAAGTCAGCCATACTTTTCCATTTTTTTTTACGAGCCAAGCCTTTAGTTTCGTATAGCAGCTTTTTACAATCACTTTGACAGCAGTTCTGTGAAAATCACACATGCTGTTCTCAGTGCGGCACCCACTTTCCAGAAACACGTCAACCAGAAACCCATACCTGCACTTTCAACTGCTGTGAGGAGTGCATGCAGTGGCGGGTATGCTTGTAGCCTTCAACTGCGAATGACCGTATCAACTATAAGTTGTATGTCAGATTGATTTGAAACTCCACATCTGTATTGATAAGGAGTGTTTTACATGCACGCCGAGTGTTGAAAAAAAAGAAGATCTTGGCTGTGAGATGGTAACAAAATGACCCAGTAACTTCAGGTTTAACACTGGAATAAAATTGACAGAACTTGATGACATTGATTGGTTTCTCCTAGCAATCCTGGCAGGAGGAGTTTCTGTTTTGGTTGCTGTAGCAGAGGCTCCACTATAAAATGCTGACCAACCACAGAGGGCACTATTACCACTCCATGAAGCCTACTACATCACACAGTGGTAGTGGAAAGCTTAAAGGGAAAAAAAGAACGGAACACTGCCTTAATTGCACAGTGGTAATGGAAAGAGGAAAAAAAAGGACTGAACACTGCCTTAATGGCACAATGGTAATGGGAAGAGGGTGAGAGAAAAGAAGAATTGAACACTGCCATAATCACACAATGGTAACAGAAAGAGGAAAAAACTGAACACCGCCTTCATGGCACAATGGTAATGAAAAGAGGAAAAAAGAACTGAATGCTGCCTGAATTCCCTGATTTACATCACAGCAGTAGCCCCCCCCACACTCATCCAAAAAAGCTGACAAATTTTAATGTTTATAGCAAGCTACCAAAAATTGTGAAAAACTCTCTAAATTAAAAAATTCAGATTACCTGACATTTCAGTCCTTACCGAATCTCCTGTGTTCAACCAACACAGTTTTTAGTGAGACTACATGGTATAAAACTGAACATTTGGAAGTGTAAATGTAGAAGGGTTTGCAAATATATAAGTTTGGCCTAAAATATATTGAAATACATGCAAAGTCTGAATATTCTGTTTTTGTTATTTAAATACATGCAAATGTGCTGTGCCCTCTGACCTTTTTGAAATTGCGCAATCCTAACCTTTAAATATAAGTTCCGAATTTTATCTATCAAGAAGCTTATGGCCTGGTGGTTAGCTTGCTGGCTGCCAGGCGAGGGGACCCCGGTTCGAATCCTGGGGTCCCCGGAGAAGGAGGTTTTTTTTTTTTTTTTTTTTTTTTTTTTTTTAAGTTTTTT